GACCATCACCTCAACCTGTGGTAGAGAAATGATTAAGCCCCATGATTATTTTGGTTCCTCTCTTCTGCACTTTTTCCACTTCTCCCACAGCCTTTTTTAGATGTGACACCAGAAACGTTCACAGTTATGGTAGAAAAGCTCATGTCAGAACTTGTCAACAATTAGAGATGATCCAACTATTGTTTTATTAAAGCTAACAAGTTATACTGAGTCATTGGTCTCCTGCTGTTAAGAACAAAAAACATTGGAGATTAGTCAACCAAGTTTTTATATAAGGTTATAGAGATTGAAGTTGAGCTGATGGATACATTTGACCAATGACAAAGAATCATTTTACAACTGATAAGAAAAACATACAGGCCATTCATAGGAATCTAGATATCTCTGTCTTTGGAAAGAGAGCACCTTGCAATGCAGGGATATATCATCAGTCACTATGGTGTTGACCAAGTCATATGCCTTCTTCAGCTATTCCAGATAAATAACATTTGCTATCTGAGCAAGTATGAGAGTGCATCTTTTCTCCTCACTTCTTTTGTCAGCTCAATTTGGAATTAGTCTATTGTTCCAACGACTTATTAAATAAAATGGGTGAGTTTTTCAATACCATTTCCAGGCAAATATATTTTTTCCTAGAAGGTGATAATTAGGGCTGTTTTAGGTGAACATTCTTGGAGAACTTGTGAGTGGCAGAATTGGAGTGAACAGGGGCCTCGCTTTAGAAATAATAATAATAATAATAATAATAATAATAATAATAGTAGTAGTAGTAGTAGTAATAATAATAATAATAATAATAATAATAATAATAATAATAATAATAATAATAATAATAATAATAATAATAATAATAATAATAATAATAATAATAATAATAAAGTTGGAAGGGAGCTTGGAGATCATCGAGTCCAACCCCCTGCTCAGGCAGGAAACCCTACACCATTTCGGACAAATGGCTGTCCAATCTCTTCTTAAAAACTTCCAGTGTTGGAGCATTCACCGCTTCTGGAGGCAGGTTGTTCCATTAGTTAATTGTTCTAACTGTCAGGAAGTTTCTCCTTAGTTCTAGGTTGCTTCTCTCCTTGATTAGTTTCCATCCGTTGCTTCTTGTCCTGTCCTCAGGCGCTTTGGAGAATAGCTTGACTCCCTCTTCTTTGTGGCAGCCCCTGAGATATTGGAACACTGCTATCATGTCCCCCCTCGTCCTTCTCTTCATTAAACTAGACATACCCAATTCCAGCAACTGTTCCTCATATGTTTTAGCCTCCAGTCCCCTAATCATCTTTGTTGCTCTTTTCTGTACTCTTTCTAGAGTCTCAGCATCTTTTTTACATC